TTGACAATAAACATGGTCTACAACTATATTACAAAAAATATTATTTAACTACCTTAATTTCTTGAATCACATGGGCTGTCCCCACGTAATTAATAAAGTATTTTTAGCAAATTGCATTTAAGCATTAGAGAAATTTAAACCTGAAAAGCTGACTGTCTAATTAAAAATCAGAAATTAATTTAGGATAATTAACCAAATGTAATGTCTTTACTAAACATGGATTTAAGGAATCTAATTGAGGTTGTCAAATTTAATTTGCATTTAATTACTCAAAAAAATATACAAAATTTAATTAAATGTACGACTTTTTGCAAGTTTTGTAATTTATTTTCGTTAAGACCGTTAATTATGGGATGAATGTTGGTTAAGATTCTGAATTAGGGTTTCTTTAGAAAGAATTAAAGAATATTTATTTATTATACGAGCTTGTGGTTAGGGCGGCGTAGGCCGGCGGAGCTACGTGTTTTTGGGAGAGCTTTTCAAAGTCTAAGAGCACTTCTTGTTAAAATTAGATGTTTACTTAAAATAAATAAGTGCTTACTAACTAAAAATATAATTGCTCTAAATTCTGCTTTTNGGTGAGTACAAGCTAGCAAAGTTCAATATTGCTTCTTCCAGCCTTGTATTGTACTTTAGGGGGGGTGCAGTTTTGTGTTTTTAGTTTTGAATTCATTTTGAATTTTGTATTTTAAGTGTCGATTTTGAGATTGTTGAAAACATGTTGAAAAATTGTTTTGAAAAGACGCTTTGAAAATTTTGGCCAAATTATAACTGAAAACACCCTAAGGGTCTGTTCTCTTTACCATTTTCAATCCATTTTCTGTTTTCAATTTTCAAAAATATTGAAAACGCGTTCTCTTTCCTATTTTCGAAAACACGTTTTTGAAAAACAAGTTTAAAACTTACAAAGAAAATTTGTCGTTTTGGTGTTTTCAGTTACAAAATGAATTCAAAACTCAAAACACAAAGAGAATAACCCCTTAAATTTTAAAATATATTCTAGTTCTCATGCGCCCCCATATATTTTTTTTAAAAAAAGTGGTGCAATGAGAACAATTTTCTTCTGAATTTGTAAGATAAATTTTGTTCAGAGTGAAACAGCTTTATAGAAAGCCAAAAAGCTTAAAAGGATGTCTTTTCGTGCATTGAAGTTACACAAATCCACCTGAAATTTTTGGACTTAACTGCACAAGGTTTTAACATTGATTTTAACTTTGAATTCAATATTGAAGACTACTCGATGATAAAATAAAAACTATAAAAAGCACCCACGTCCATACATATATAGAAGGCACTAAAAAGAAAAAAACTTTTTTTTTCTTTTTTCTTTTTTTTTCTTTTTAATGTGTAACTTCTTAAAAGTAAGTCCTTCCACGGAAAGTATAATGATAAGCGACTTTTCATTAAGGAATTTGAAAGTGGGGCACTTTTGTGATGGAGAAGCCTCCTGGGAATGAGGGATTTGGGTAAAAAGAAGGTTCAAATATCATAATCATATTTTCCAGCTTCTTCATGTCTTGTTCAATTTTACATTAATTTTTCCAGCCCTAGAGGAAGTATACCAACCTATTCTGATACATGAGCATCCATTTAATCAAAACAAACAAGAAACGAGTTTCAAAATGGCTTTACGAAAATTTAAACACAAACTTGAAAAAAAGGAAAAGTGGGTAATCGAAAATGATCATTCTGCTTTAGTGGGAGATAAATGAATTCTGGTAATATTAGGGGGTCACTAGAGCTCATTTATCTCCCTTCCACGTACCACAGGGGGCCAGCTGACATTACGAGAACCCGTGTGATCCGGATAATGTTGCAAAACTCAATTGGAAAATCAAGGTAAAAGCATCCAAGGCAAATAGGCTATAAAAGTAAGAAAAGATAAAGGGCAAAAAAGGGGATGTGATGTACATTAGAGTGCGTGAGCAACAAAGTAAAAAAGTAATAATTGTCATTAGGGAAAAACCTTTTGAGAATTTATGCTTGGGTAGTGGGGCCCATAATATTTCATCTTTATTAGTTTACTTGTAATTTTACCAATCCATGTTTCTCCTTTGGCTTTAAAACAACGCATTCTTTTCTTCCACATAAAATATAACAAAACAAGAAAAAGTAGGCACTCATTCTTGTATTTTATGGTAGGGACCCTCATTTGCATGGTGGATTGGCGTTGCTTCCTTTTCTATCTCAACTTTCTTATCTTCTCAATGTCTCATCTCGTCAACGTCAACCCAAAGTATCCACTATTTTCCCATCCCATAAAATTTGTGACATGCCCACGTACTAAATATGCCGTATTTCATCGTATCTCATAGCTTCAATTCAAGTTCTTAACGAAAATAAACCCAAGTGGTATTAATAAATAACTAACAAACATTATACATGTAAAGTCGCAGACATGTGGGTTGGTAGTAGAGAGGTTAAAGAGACAAATGCATGTGAAAGCAGAGCTCTTTGTAAGCCTCTTGTTTAGAGCTGTCGTGTCCATGTTTAGCTTTCAATAATATAGTGGATTAGACCACACTTTATTTGAAATCACTAATTTTGGCCTCCCATGTCAAGAAATGACAAATCTATTTAAAACATCAATGGATCGGTCCACAATGACAATGATACACGAGATTAGATAGTACTGAATAATATTCAAAATTCAATTTATATTACTTTTTGGTTCCAAAACATGTGTGATCTATTGTGGGTGGGTTGACATGTTTCTAGTAAATATCTCTATCAACTACGATATTACAAGTCAAAGGGCAAATGATAAAACCGTGTCCTGAAGATTAGGATGAAATGATTTTTGAGGCTTCAAAACATTTTCTTTACTAAAGACAATAATTATAATCATGACAAGCATCGTTACAACAATCATCATGGTGAAGACATACACATTATGGGAATTAGAGCTGTAAATTGGGTCGTGCCAGGTGTCCCACATCAAGCCACTTAGCTACACACCTTGGCCGGCATGACCCATTAATTCGGGGCACAGCATGGCATTGACACGGTTTTTACTTCTATTGAATTTAAAATGGAGGTGCATTGAACTTTGCAGACACAACTCGACTGTGTAGGTGGGCCAACTCACGCCATGCCTTGTGATGGGTCGGGTCAGGCCAGGCCCCAAACCTGATGGGCCGCTCTGGGCAAAATTTGGCACCCTACATGGACTGCTAGGACTACTAGCTGCTGCCACGTTCCAAGAGTTGGACATGACATATCTAAAATGATGAGTCCCTAATGAATAAACACAATCCATGATCGAGTGCAAGTCTTCACTCAAATAAGGAAATAAAACAATCAACTGTATATTCAGTTCAGACAGACTTGACGGCAAGCTTAATTTTCAACAATTTCAAATACATGAGCATGAGCATTCCTTATTTTATTTTTTACCTATGGTAATCCTAGACTATAACAAATGGAAACGTGAACATATGTGCTCAAAAGATACACTGCCTTAAGGCATTTTCTGAAAAAAATGAAGGAATGGAATTCAGCATTTTATTGATCAACTTATGTGCTCAAAAGTAAATATAGCGTTCCTTCGTCACACTCCTACAAGGGTTTTACATGCCAAGCAACATTATCCACAGACATCCACAGGATCAAAAGTCCCATTTATAGCCTCCCGACAATCACACGGGATTGTCAAATGAAGTGTTTCTCATACAAGAGGAATCAGACCTGGTGGAGCTTCAAATGTGATGTCAGTTCCCCGATTTGATTTTGAAGAATCCAGCTCCAAGATGTTAGCATGAAGTATACTTTAGCCCCCCCGAAACAAGAAATAAGGAGAAGCGATAACGAGAAATTCTTTGCAGCAAGTGAAGTATAATTCATCAAACTCCATACAGTGGCAGAAAGATTTTGACAAAAGAGTACGCCAGTGCCCCTGTAAAGATATAGCTGTCGAACCTATCTAGAATCCCACCTGCTTTGTGAGTTATCATTAGAATAGATCCAAGTCTGAATATCAAAACTTCACACACAAAAAGATATATCCTTCCTTAGTATATACTCCTAAATGAATCGAGCCCTCTGTGATCATTAAACAAAACGACAATTGCAGAATCATCTTAAACCGAATATGGACCATCTAATTAGAATCCAGCGTACAGATCCAAATTGTTCATATGTTAGGTTTATTACTGGATAGTGGATATAAATTATTTTGGTAAAACTGCTATTGTTTGCTTAATTCCTCTTATAAAATGGACCAAGCATGAGCACAGTCATGTCATATATGTCTAAAAAGCGGAAAACTACAAAAGTGTGGTGTTGATGAACACTTGGTGAATCTCGGCAGGGTGTTCTTTACTCCAATCCTACGTATTTTGAGTCATCATATGTTCTATTGGATATTGCCATTCCAAAATAGTTAAAAGGAAATTGTGACCGATCAGGGTAAGTGTAGGCATGAAACCTAGGATAAGGGGAGAAACCAGCATGCTACATGACACATAAAAAATGATTAAGATATGTAGACATTACCATGTCCAGGTATGAGGGATCCTGAATCTTTGACCCCCGCGTCACGCTTGATCATGGATTCCGTCAGGTCACCAAAAAGAGACCCAAAGTAGTTCAGAAACCCAAATGCTACAGCACTGCCAACCGTCCAAGAAAACTATATAAATTGATGCAAATGGAAGCTTCCAAAGAAGAATTTTCCAATTTTACAGCTAGAAACAAATTATTATTTCATTCTTCTATAATGAACAATGCAACTCGAATTAGGAACAGAAGAAGAAAAGGAAACCCAGATGGCATGCTGGACTATGAAGTGAAAACACGAAAATAAAACTATGTACCTCAGGACATTTGTAGGCCAGCTTAGGGTCTTCGCCAATATAATAGAGGTCGCTATACAACCACCTAGTCCTGCAAGAGCTCCCTCCCATGTCTTTTTTGGGCTAATACTGGTCAGAGGTGTCCGACCAAAAGCCTGCACTTGAATTTGTATGAGGGCTTATATATCCACAAAATAGTCATCTAGATTTGTTATATGATCACAAACACGGGTTGAAGCATGAAATAAGGAAGTTAGGGGAGTTAATGGCCATTAAGAATTACAAAAGTAACTGAAATAGATACTCTACTTCCTATAAATATTTATGAACCAAGACAATATAGAGATGAAATGAAGGACAAAATTATGCCAAAAAAGGGATATAAAAGATCAATTTTACATGCTGAACATCATGGGGTACAAATTAGGATTAAATATGACTTGAGTTCTGAAAAAATTTGCTCATGACCAACAAGTCAAAGAGAGAGAAGCATCCATTAGATATTTACACAAGTCAGGTTGAAAAAGCAAATAAACACTACCGTGAAACTAGAATTTTCCCTTGTACCTTTGAGGAGAAAAAACAATGACTTAAAACTTTCTCCTATTAAATGTGTTAATTCACACGTATCTGGCTGGTCAAATTCAGTTTTTCACTGCTTTTCCTCGAGATGAATGACGCAAAACTAACAGTACAGGAGAAAAAATATTTATGGAAACTACCTTTCCCCAAATAAAAGCACATGTATCTGCTGCAATAATACTGCTAACTGAAATCAAGGTTGCCACAAGACCCACTGTCCACTGAGTTCGGCCACCAAGAAGAACAGGCCAAGATGCTACCACACCTGCAAAACATAGACTCCCATCAGAACTTAACCAATGTACTGGCGGCAACACCAATTTAAGTTTTTGCTGATATTTCTAATATTGAAATATAGAACAATAGATTTCACCATGTGCTGATCTACAGAAAAGAGGACTGTCTTTTCAGGTGGTTATGAAGATTCAAAATTTTAGATTGGACATACTTCACCAGAATTTCATTAATCATGCTTTGAGTCAAAATATTTCACTTGTGTCTAGCATAAGTGTTGCGTCATTAGGTTACTTCTAAACACCCAATGCTTTAGGCTTATATTCTTGAACAAAAAGGTAATCAAAATTTCAAGTAGAATTTAATAGAATCACGCACTATCTACACAGCAATGAGTTGAGTCGTAACAAACTGAAAACATGCTTCAAGAGTTTTGATTAGCATTTGAAATAGTACTGCATAGGTCTAGGAGTTTCGCTTGCTCTTATTTTCATTTATTTCCACTTTTTTGTTCCTTACTTTTTTAATGAGATAGAAACTATCTATATGGTGCCACAGAGTTATCCACTGATTTCATCTATATCTTTATTTTGGGGAAGCATCCTGAAGACTAGCATTATCTATTATTCTGAAGATCACCATTATCAAGAAGGTATGCAAGCAACCAACAGTATTATGACCAACCAGATGCTCCATGAAATATACATCAGAATATTGTACTAACACAATACACTGCAATACCTTTCTCTTTCCAGAACCAATTGGAACAGAGCATAAACTATCAAGCTTTAGAACAACACTTATTTCTCTATTCTTCCTCAATGTTAGTCCCAAAGACTCATTTTCCGAAATGGATCAACAAAATCAGGCAAACTTTTCTCAAACATAATGCCAATTTGAGCAAGTGAACCGTAGAAAGAAAACAATACCGCAGATTGTGTCTAGGACCATGTTTCATCAAGATGAAAGTTGAGCTGAGCTAGATATTCTGATCCATGTGTATGTCAGTGTAATTTTTAATCTTTTCCGTGACTACAATTTTTTTCCTTTCCCATTTTACTCCTTTTCTGTTTTCGAAAACTGTCCTGTAGTCCTCTCACGACAGGTATTTTCATTTCAAAAGTACTTCTCCACAATTTGTCAAAATATTTACCCAATTATAAAGTCTAAACTCCAAACACAATTCCATGACATCTGGCACTTTGTGTAACAGCAGAAAAAAGCAAGTGTTTGCCCAAATGAAAAAGTTATCAGCTAGAAAGTGCAAATAACAAAGACAGGCTATATCTACAATAAGTACTTAAAAAAAAAAAAAAGCGGATACTTACGGGTATTTAGTGCAGGAGCTGCTAAACCACATCGCAGCTTAATCCAGAAACAAGGAAGGTACCCACAGTAAAATAGTCCAAACATGGTACTACTGAGTTGAGCGAAACGGGGATTCCCCCTTTGCAGAAGCAGGGCCATGGCAACGACAAAAGCCGCAGACGTCACAGATACATCAATATTCCCGAAGTATCTAAACATAATGACAACCACCACAAATCAGCTACAGGAACTATTAGAAACTTTGCAGTAAAAGTTACTGAGACAAAATACAAAGAGGAATAGAAAATTGTCAGTCTTCTTTTTCTTTGAATTACAAAGAGATTTGGCCCATTCATAGGGTTACAAACAACCATAAAAGGACAGTTATAACTACCTACCATAAAATACCAACTATAAATTGTCATATAAAGACTGACCATAATATGTTCTATTAAAAGAAAAGGAAACTAGTGGACAAGGAAGTTAATATTCCATTGGAACTATTCTACTAAATTTTGTTGCATGAATCAAGGGGAAAAGAAAAATTCACAGCAAAGTCCAATAATAGTTATTTCACTCGTATTTGACAAGTGGAAATTTCAATAAAGAGAAATGCTCAAGAACTCTAGTCAGTTACTGTAACTATGCTATATATTTTTACATAAATGCCCACTTCTAAGTTTTTGATTTAACAAAATTTTCTCCGCAGTTTTATAAGTAGTGCCATGTACTTTTCCTATTTTTATCATGCTCCATCCACATTGAAAAATTATTTTTCCAAGAAGAAAAGGACATGAGAGAACTGATAAAACTAGATAAGCATTCAATCCCATAACGAATTATTGGAAAGAAAACGGGCCAAAAAAATATCCTCAAATTTCTTCTCATTCAAATAAAAAGCGAATGCACATATTAAACTTTCCCTTGCCTAGAGTATACTGTCATCCTTGTCCTTTCCAATACCTCTAAACTCGGAGAATTTTCATATCAAAAGCACTAAGAAATACGATAGCCCCTTCGACATCATAACAAACCTTCTCCATAACTTTAATGCAATAACACAATGCATAAACAGGTTATCATGTGTATTACTGTGCTGCAAACACTTAGACACATCAGAGATAGAAACTTGATACTCAGCACCTACAGCATGTCATTTTTATTTAGCTTTTAGCAACCACAACCATGTCAAAAGCCTTCCTTAAGAACTAGTATACATTTTAGAATTAAAGAATACATAAACAGATTAGATTTCTGAGCAATCACAAGGAAGGAAAAATATCACAAGATACGTGTGCTAAATTCCAGATCATTCAACTGGGAAAGTAGAAACATCCCCATATACCAACAACTGAGATTAAAATATAAATAGAAACTCTAAAAGGCCATCTGAGGAAGAAAAGTAAAAGAGATGGAGCTTAAGAGCCCCTCACCTCCACCAGGAAAAAAAAAAATAAGCATAATTCAATAAAGTCAAGGAAACACATCATAATGTATAATGCAATTGATTCTAAATTCTTCTTGAGAATGGATGCAGGAACCAATAGCAACTCAGAAATGTACGTTCAAAAGAGGCAAACCTATATTCATGATGAAAACTCGATCGATAAGTGCAGATTTACGTGAAATCTCATGAGACTTGTCGAAACTTTTTTCTTCTTCCGGCCAAGGTCGTTAACCTCCCTCCACCCCCACACCCCACCAAGATCTCGAGCATTCATATATCTTAATGCCCCATATTGATTATTCACGTTAAATCAAAAATTTGTATGGACACAGCCGGAAAATTCAATTACTATCTTTTAACATGAATAAACGCAGATTTATGAAGGAAATCGAGATTAATCGTGCTGAAAGTTGTGTCCAAATGACAACTACTAGAAGAACAGAGTGGAGTGCTGGTGTTCGAGAAGTATCGATCAGATGTGCCTCGGACACATGGAAAAATTATACGACACTCCACATGGGATGCCCTTTTTTATATTATATTTGAATTTCCAACACACTGGAAGACACAACCCAAACACGTTGACAACACAGCAAGCATTATTTGGTAAATGTTGAAATATAAAATGAGGAAAATGCTAACTATTAAAGTGTTTCGCTAAATTGCAGAATAAAAGAATGGAATACAAATGAAACCAGCTGCACTCACACCATTTGCCACTTAAGGGAAGCAATGATGGAAAAAGATGGAAACGATAAAGTCACAATGGCCAATAGAAAATTGAAATAGACCAACAATGGGAAATGTCATATTTCAAACTAGCTGCAACATTCGGGTAATGAATCAAGTTATTACATAAACCGATTGGGCATTACCTATTCTTGACAAAGATTTGGAATTACCTATTACTAACTCCACCTACTCAATAACATTCTCGAGTTTATTTAAGTCAATGTTGGCTCTAGAGAAAGTCGATGCTTCTAGATGCAAAAGGAGATATGAAGGTTGACAGAGGAGAAGATACAAAAATTAGGCCAAAAAGGGAAATGAAAAAAAGCAGAAGGCAGACAAAAGAGATGACTGGAGTCTCGAGAGAGATGAAAGGAGGAGAAAAAGAAATATGTCATGGGCAATAGGAGATATAAAAAGGGAGCTGCTTTATGGCTATTTTCAGCCATTTTCTGGGCTTGTTACCAGGCTAGTCTCAGCTAGATCTTATATGAGTCTGAGTTACAGCATTTCAGCTAGATTAAGACACTTTCTAGTTCATTGTTGCCCAATTCCTCGCCCTATCCAAGTTCCTATTGCTTTCATGACTTTCCATCTCTCATTAACAGATAGAGAGCTTTCTTCCTTCTTGCTTTAGTCATTTCGTGCCCTTCTTAGCATGCAGCAATTTAACAGAGTAGCAGTGAAGAGAGAAGTAATTTTCTGTTATTAATCACAATAACTTTTGGTATTCTAAAGAACAGAATAAGGGTTCATAATTTTATATTATTTTAGCCAATGTGTCTCCTATGTCATTGTGGCGTGTCAGCTTGTTCATTTCCACGCTTCATAGACTTCCAATACCCAATAGCAATTTTAAAGTAAGACAGTACATTCAGCCCATGCGCAGAAAGTCTAAAGCAGGGGGTCCATAAAAGTTACTAAATGAAGTGCACAGAAAAACCAAAAGATTGTCAACTACTCTTACAGTGTGAGTATAGGCATTAGAGCACAGATAACAGAGCAAACTCGTGATACATATCGAGGAGGAGGGGTCATTCCAGTAGCAATTCCACGGCTTCTGACCAGTTCAAAGTATTCCCTGGCACCAATAAATACTGCCACTGCAAGAGCCATTGTGAAAACCCATCCTCCAGCCAACACTACTCCTCCAGCAGAAACTCCAATGCCAAGCCCAAAGATAACCCTTTTCTTCAACTGACTCGCTTTCTGTTGATGTTCTGAATCTGAATTCTCCTCCACAGATATTTGAGTACCTTCGTTTACTTCCTACAACATATCCATCTCAGTGGTCCAGTTGTAATTTATCTGAATAACATTAAAGGGGATCATACTTCTTAAACATTGTAAAATGAACATTGAGGAATCCTCAATAAATGGTTTTCATCAAAGAGAGAGTATTTTGCCGATTTTACTCATGTATGATCCATATGTAAACAACAGAATCTACAATACTATTTACTCTGAACAGCACAAGGATTCATCGCCCGGGCCTTGTTTTGTTGATTTATCTCGAGAATTATTTCATAGTTATGTTGTCATCCTAATGCATGCAGTACTTGCCATTTGTTCATGTTTTTGTATTCAACAATTTATTCAACCCGTCTAAGGTAGTGTATCGAGGGGCTCTAGGCGATCAAGGAGCCACGTCTTTCTTTATGGCATAACCCGACAAGAGTTGTCTTAGTC